GTGAATTAATTAATTTTTCATTTAATTAATTAATTAATTAATAAAAAATTTCACATTGAGAGAATTCAGCTGCCTTGGCGGAGGTCTGTGCTCTTCGAGTGCTCTAGTTTTCTCATACAATCGTGAAAGGCGCTGAGTACCCATGTGACCAACGCAAGTAATTTTCGACGTCGTGCTTTCCGTAAGGTAGAATTACATCGTGTCCTTTCGCCTAAGCGAAATTGACGGCTTCCGTCACTAACTGCTGCGCTAGGTATCGTAAATTACGATTTGTTACCGCCTTCAAAGTGCGTAGGTTCGTAGCAAGAGTACATAATAGAGAAGAGTATGGCACGGTTTTAACAGCGTTTTGCATAGTTTTCAACTTGTAAATATTCTATCAATATGTGAATAAATATATTCAAACTTTACCTTGTTTTCGTCTATGATTCTCCCTTAATCATATGACACCCATAAATTTACCTGAAAATCGTATGTGTTCTTCAAAAAAGTTATTTGAATACGACACGGTTTCGGGCAACAAGTTTGTCAGCAAGACGTGGACATGGATGCATGTTTTAGACCAAACTTTGATATGGGATTAGTGTTCTATTGTCTATGACGGTGCGCTGGGGGCCGTAAGGGAATCGGCTGCTAGCTAGCTGGCCGTGAGCACATTTATTTTTAGCACGCTGGAAACGCTGCACGCTGAATACAATTCGATGCTTAATATCCCTTACGGCCCCCAAAGTTCCGTCATAGACAATAGAACACTAATCCCGACGGAAAGTTTAGTCTAAAACATGCATCCATGCGTGAAAACTGTGCGAAACCGTGTCGTATTCAAATAACTTCTTTTTCAAATAACGATTTTCAGGTAAATTTATGGTGTCATATGATTAAGGGAGAATCATAGATGAAAACAAGGTAAAGTTTGAATATATTTATTCACATAATGATAGAATATTTACAAGTTGAAAACTATGCTAAACGCTGTTAAAACCGTGTCATACTCTTCTCTATGTATTATGTACTTTTGTTCGTAGTTTAAAGTTCGCATCATAGCAGCAGGATTGCTTCTATTGGTAAGGTAAGCTAGGAAGTAGGGACAGTGATTTTCCGTTTCAAAAAAGTTGCCTTCTCCGTTTGGGAAAATCCTGAATTCCGTTTCAAAGTAAAGAAAATATGGAAATTCCGTTTTGCCATAGATATTGTACACACCAAAAATGCAAAATCACGTTTACATATATATATATATATTTGCATGAAAAAATATACATCGCATGATGCGCGCGTACACCGAATTCGTTTGAAGCCGCGAAGGGTGGGGGTAAAGTTAGGTCAGACATCTCTCGCGTCTCTCCCGTTCAGCTGTTAATGCGGGCCATTCAAGAATGCAGAAGATGTATTTTGCCGGCGAGAAAACTGGCGAGAATGTTTCGACTCTGTCGACGTGTCTGATCGATAAGAGTGGCTGGTTTGGACGGTGTGTGCAGCGTGGGTGTTCCGGTTAACGTATTAGCCAGCGAGCCGTGCAGCCGTGATTTGCACGGTCAGTTTTGAAACTGCACGACCAAAAAAATTGTTACAATTTTAAATTTTTAAATTTTTAACATTTTCTGGGGGTGGGGCCCCGTACCTCCCAAAGAGGAGGGGTCCTCCCCTCTCATACTCCTCCCCCTCCCCCCGTGAACGCCTACGGCGGTCTTGGCTGAGACACCAAAAAATTGCGCTCCCACAATACTCATTCCTGGCTAATACAGGTTCCGGTGCGTACGTACGGCGTGCCGTAACTAAAAACGGGTAGGACGACAAAAACGCGAAACTTGAAAAACCGGCAAGACCGCTAAGATTGGCCAATTTCAGTGGCATGCGTTGGGCCAGTTTAGAATTTGCTAAGAGTACAGTATTGGTATCCACGTTACGTCTTTGGACTTGGGATTAATCAAAAGTTCGTCGTGTGTGTGTATGTTAATAATTATTTAATGCAATTTTTTTGGAACACTCATGTTCAATTCATTTAATAAAGGGCATGCGGCCCTTCTATATACTTTATTTTAAATAATATTAATGAGATAATATAATGTCGTTAAACATTCTTACCTTTAATGCGTTTTTTTCTGAAATCAATAAACCAGGGTTAATTTTTATCGTGGAAATTTATGGTTAATTTGTAGCGAGGGTTGTCTCACCCTGTCCACTCATATTTCAGATGAGCAAACTGCACGATTTTTGAGCGATGTCACTGGATACGGCTGGCAGTTTCATTAAGCTTCAGCAGTAGGGGGGGGGGGGTTATGTTATTTTTTACGGTATCGCGTATGTGTGTTTGTGTGCTCGTAATAATGTTAATGACCGTCGCGCAAATCAGGTACTGGCAACTGCAAAGCCAGGTAACGCCATTAGCAGTGGATGTTTCCACCTGTGCGCAGGTGTGCAAGGTTATTACTGTGCGTACTACAGTGAAAATCTGTGCTGGGCGTACCTTATAAATGGTACTTCTGGAATTTTCCGTGTGCAAGTGGCAGTCGGTCGTACAGTGACACCACCTCTGTAGAAGGGACGCCTGTACATAAACGCCTGTCTAGGGTTTTCCTCTGAGGAATTATCTGGGACAGATATTACCATTTTAATTAAAATTATACATTATGTATTTTACTTGTCGCTCTCTGTAGATTCATCCAGCAGAAGTTAGAGCGGGCGTCGCCGGCCGAGAAGCAGATGGTGTTCAGCGAGATCCTGTCGTCCGCGTACAGCCTCATGACGGACGTGTTCGGCAACTACGTCATACAGAAGTTCTTCGAGTTCGGCACGCCGGAGCAGAAGCACACGCTCGCTCAGCGCGTGCGCGGTCACGTGCTGCCGCTCGCGCTGCAGATGTACGGATGCCGCGTGATACAGAAGGCGCTCGAGTCGATCCCGCCAGAGAACGCCGCGCTGAAGGTGAGAGGGGAGGGTGGGGTGTGTGCGTGCGTGCGTGCGTGCGAGTGCGTGCGTTTGTGCGTGTGTGGTGAGTGTGTGCGTGTGTGAGTGAGTGCGTGCGTGCGTGGTGTGTGTGTGTGTGTGTGCGTGCGTGCGTGAGTGCGTGCATGCGGTGTGTGTGTGCATACATGCGTGCGTACGTGCGTGTGTGGTGAGTGTGTGTGTGTGTGCGTGCGTGCGTGCGTGCGTGCGTGCGTGCGTGCGTGCGTGCGTGCGTGCGTGCGTGCGTGCGTGCGTGAGAGCGTGCGTGAGAGCGTGCATGAGTGCGTGCGTGCGTGTGTAGTGAGCGTGCGTGTGTGCATACGTGCGTGCGTGTGTGGGTGCGTGATTTCTTTTTGAATATTTTACTTATTTTAATGAATTATTTATTTGTTTATTGTAGTGTAGTAATACTATTTTATTAAATATATTCAATATATATACATGTACATAATAGAACTTAACCTCGATCGACTGGCGAGGTTAAGCTAACTCGAGTTACCTTAACTTGAGTTAAGGCCCCGTGTAGACGTTTAACTCGAGTTAAGGTTCGTCGTGTAGACGTAGCTTATATTGTTATATAGAGATACATTGTTACGTATTATATTGTTATATAGAGATACATTATTATATAGAGATATATTGTTATATAGAGATACATTGTTACATATTGTTGCAGGAGAATTCTCCGCTAGCCGTGGCAGACCAGGTAAAGACTGAGAGTAAAGATGGCGCCGGTGCAGACATGCAGAGCATCGAACAAGTGCAGGCCAACGGCATCGTCGAGAACGGGGTGCTGGAGGGCGCCACTGACAAGTACGGGTGAGTATAGGGGGGCGGGGCGGGGCATTGGTGGCACGGGACGGCGCGGAAATTCTAGAAACTTCCGGGGGTATGATGTCCGCCCCTTTTTTGGGGCTGGAAAATTAGTGGACTGTATGTAGGCTACAGTTCCTGGAAACACTGGAAAAACTGGATGTGGCCTTGGAAAGTCCTGAAAAATAGGATATGGTCCTGAAAGGTCATGACAAATGGTCTGTGGCAGGGTAAAAAATACACAGGAGCGATGAGCGATACGCTCTTCAAACCTCCGAAATCGCTCCCGTGAGGCTCAAAATAGCTCCCGTAAAATTTTTGGCGAGAGCTATTTCCCCCACAGACTTGAAAAAGAGCTCCCGTGGAAAAAAAGAAATTTTTCCCCTGGTCTGTGGTGTGGTGTTGAGGATGCTCTCAGTGTACCTGAGCTCAGCTAACTTATCATATGGGCATGCATATTGCAGGCGGGGAGGACTGGATATCAGGGTGTACGTGAGTTTAGCTAATGTATGTGCGTGAGTACCTGAGTGTACGTGAGTTTAGCTAACGTATGTGCGTGCGCTCGTGTTACAGGCGGGGAGGCCTGGGCAGCCGCGAGTCGTCCCCGCCGATGTCCGACCAGGAGAAGGCCAGCCAGCACCACCACACGCAGCAGTACCCGGCGAGCAAGTCGGACGAGATGGCGGCGGCTGCTGCTGCTGCTGCTCGCGGCAACATGCAGGGCTTCCCGCACCACATGGACCAGCACGCGGCGGCGGCGGCGGCGGCCGCGTTCGAGCAGATGCAGCTCGATCCGATGGCGTTCGGGGGCGGCTATGACAGCATGGCTTCGCAGATGGACAGTCCCAACATGCTCGACTACCAGCAGCAGGTGCGTGCGTGTGTGCGCGTGAGTGCGTGAGTGCGTGTGCGTGCGTGCGTGCGTGCGTGCGTGTGTGCGTGTGTGTGCGTCTGTGTGTATGTGTGCGTGCGTGCGTGCGTGTGCGTGTTTGTGCGTGTTTGATGTATATAGGAGTGGGAGCGGGGGGCGTTCGCCATATATATACGTTCCTTATAGATAGTGCTATTGTTTACAAACTTGACCATGATGGTTAAAGTGATTACGTCACCGTAAATAGTAAAAGTAAAATTCTTATGTCTACTTTTTCACAAAATGTAAGCGATTCTGTGTACTTTTTATGGTTAAATTGCTGCATTATACTTCCTATTTTGCTATTCCGTTTGATGTGAACAAACACTCGTGACTCATACATAGCTCATAGCACGCATTTAATGTCATGATCAATGTATCAAATCGAGTTTTTGGATTTTTAACTAATTGCAACAAACATACACCATAGAAAATTCATGAGGTAGATAATTTTACGAGTGGTTGGTGTTCACCTTGCCTTCAACGTGTTTGTTGATGATGTTACTAACACTGCTTTCTTCCATGCAGCTGCTGCAGGCACAGAGGCAACAGCAGCAGCAGCAGCCTCAGCCGCAGCAACAACAGCAGCAGCAACAACAGCAGATGCTACTGGCACAGCAGCAGCAGTACGCGCTTGCAGCACAGCAACAGATTGCAGCCGGTAAGATCCCGGAGTTCACGTTTTTTTAGAATGCAGCCGAGAAGGGCTAATCGCAGCATGTTCAAGAATAATCCTTGTATAAGAATCGGAGCGAGATCGCCATATCACAATAGCGAGCCGGCGTGTGCCTTCTTATATGTGTAGGTGCAGCCAGGCTTTACCTTTTCACGGGCCTGATCGACCCAAGCTTTGTAAACGGCCCCGCCTCCGGTGTCCACGGGGCTTTTTTTCCGGCCCCCGTGAAATTTTGAGGGTGATGACACATCATACAATACATAATTCATCAGTTTAAAAAAATCGGCCCCGTCAGGTAAATTTTTAGCTCACCTTTTAGCTCAAGCTTAGCTAGTGCCAAGGGTCGTCGTACGTCCATCAACATTTCGCTTCGGTCAACGATAACTCAGGAACCGTTTGGCCCACATGTTTGAAATTGGGTATAGTTGTTGCTGCTATACTCCCATATTAAACGTCCTATTTTAGTCGACGTACTTTCGAGCCACGGCAATTTTTTTGGCAAAAATGGTAATTGCCATTAGTCAGTTCAGGTTCAACGGATTTTGCTCATTTTTGGTATGTGAATGAATAAGGGCTAGGGGTTTTGATATTATGCAAATTAGGTAGGGTTTGGCAATTATATAGCATATTATATAGACACAAACAGTCTGTGGTGACACACTCGTCTGGTTCGTTTTACAAGATTTCATTGACAATATCTTTAATGCAAAATTGGCATTTCCTCTCCACCCTGCCAATAAAATGTCTATATAAGAGTCAAGATTTACAAAACATGTTGGAACGCAGCATAACCTATTTATTTCAAACGCCATCGCTACAAAGCGGGTATAGCGCCATCTACGGTCACAAATTGTGATTCATTTTGGTTTATAAATTATTATTGCGATATACAGATGGCAATCGTTTCTATAATGTACGTCGATGGTTGCTCAATTAAAACTGGTTTCTTCTTACTCACTCATTTGTGTCCTTTTTTGTGGTGAGCTACAGTGTCATTGACACTTTCATTTAGGCCCCGGGCCGTGGTTTTCTCAGACGGCGAAGCCTGTACAATGGCGTACGATGCGCACTCGGCGTGTGCGAACGGGTTGCTGTGTCAACGGGAGTCCATTTGTGATCGGCGATTTACTAATGGATACGTAGGTCGCGGGATGGGGGTGGGGGTGGGGGGGTATAGTTGGTTCAGTCGCCACATTTACTGTGTGCACACTGTAACAGATTCGTGTGACGTTTTAGGTGTTGGAAATTTCTCGTTAAAAATGTACAGTTTCCCAGTGAAAGTACATACGCACATATGAATGTGTAGTGGGGCAGGTGAGAGAGAGAGGTGGGGGCAATGTGTGGTGGGGCAGGTGAGAGAGAGAGGTGGGGGCAATGTGTAGTGGGGCAGGGTGGAGAAGGTGAGGTATCAGAGTGGCAGAGGTGGGGCTGAGAGATGGGTCGGGACTGAGAGGTAGAGGTGAGAGGGGTGGGAGGGGTGAAGGGAGCACGGCAAGGTGCTGCCCTTCAGCCAGCAGAAGTTTGCCAGGTGAGAGAGAGAGGTGGGGGATGCGGGGCAGGGGCAGGTGTGAGAGAGAGGTGGGGGATGCGGGGCAGGGGCAGGTGTGGGGAAGGTTTTTGATGTTACACGTCCGTCTACGATCGTAGACAGCGATGGTTGAAGGCGTCATGTGCATGTATAATATAGACGGCTTTATTCGAAAACATATGTTACAGGAACATGATACAGTGGATAACATTGAACATGATACAAATTCCTATTTTTCATGCTACCTGGGGTTGATGGTGAAAGGTGGTGTGGTGTTGCATAGGCAGGGGGAATGGGTGTTGGTTAGAGGAGCGGGGGTGGGAGGGGTGAAGGGAGGGCGGCAAGGTGCTGCTACCCCTCAGCCAGCACAAGTTTGCCAGGTGTGAGAGAGAGGTGGGGTTTTATTTCTCGCTCCCCAGCTACTAAGGGAGTAAAAGAACTTACTTATGCGTGTCGTATTTCTTGCGACGGATGCGTGTTTTGTTTCTTTACACGCTTAAGTTTATAACGTCAAAGCTGTGTGTTGGCGGCGTTTCCGCGTCAGATAGGGTTTATCTCCCCAATGTCTCTCACCGTCCTAATTATTGTATACACGCTGTATATTTCGCGGTGGTTTAATTTTCTTTAATTCGCGAATTTCGCGAACGCGTCCCCGACCGTGAAAATAACAACTCGAATAATTCATACCGAATAATACCGAATAATTCACCGACCGCGAAATTAACCACTCGCGAAATTGTCCGTCGAGTCTGAATTCGCAAAACGCGAAAAATGTGGCGTATACATCATGTCCGTGTTTTGTCGTCGTCATTGCAGTAACGTCGTGGAGAAGTGTGTGTCTCACTCGTCGCGTGCCGAGCGGGCCATGCTGATTGATGAGGTGTGCAACGGTCAGGACGGGTAAGTGTGCGCTCTGCCGCCGCCGCCGCCCCTGCCGCAAACACTCCCTCGCACTCCCTCACAGTCTCGCGCGATCACACGTACATGTAGAAAATGTTCGTTTATTGCCAGGTGTCTTGCTTCAGCGTAGGTTATACAAGTCCATATAATTTATCGACATATGATATAATATATATCACATCATCCATAGATTTTCTTGTGTTCCATCCGTACTGTTTTGTATCCAGTATAATAGTTTAGTACTAATAAAATAGTAATAATAGTAGTTCCAAGTTATAAATCTGTAGCATTGTCCATCAGACGTGGCCAAAGCCAAGTGACGGATGAATGTATGTTTGGTGCAGTTCGGCTGTTTGTGTGTAACCTAATGTTGTTCCTTTTATGTTGAAACCTGTGTTTCCTTGTTACACACAGAGTCCACAGTGCCTTATGCATGATAATGAAGGATCAGTTTGCAAACTACGTGTTGAAATCTAACTCCTCCCTCTCCATCATACAAGGAGAATGCTAATATGTTTCCTTGTTACTTACACACACAGAGCACACAGTGCCTTATACACGATGATGAAGGATCAGTTTGCAAACTACGTGTTGAAATCTAACGCTTCATACATGGAGAATGCTAATAAACACATTTTCCAGTTCATATGTATACCAGCAGTGCGTGCGTGTGCGTGCGCGTGCATGTGTGTGTTTGCTTGTGTAATATTGTGTGCCAGTGCTGATTGTGTGCTTTGTGGTATAGCAGTGGTGAGATGTTCGTAGCAGTCGATATTCCCTGCTATAAATGCTCGTTTATGCTGTTGTACAGTCCCACGCCTAGCAAGGCCATTATTGTTGTTCTGTTTCCGCGTACGCCGCCGCTGACGATTGTTTCGTCGTTCTAGATTTCGTACCCGATTTTTTTTCTCGTCGTGATTTTGTTTGCGGAGGATTGAGTGGCGCGATAACTAACTACTTTGCTTCTCTTCCCAGCGACAGTCGAGTTATCCGTCTTTGTTTACCTGCAGTCGAGTTTGTTTGTTATACGTGACGATTTGTTTCACAGTGAACCGCAGTAGTATAATCATGTAGCAGCCAGGTAAGGTTCTAATAGCCGTGCTGCGATCTAGTGATGTGTCGCCTTCTAGGTTTCACAGCAGCGATCGTTAGATTTGCATTTTTATTCCCTGCTTCACGGCGAAAGCGTCCGTAGGAATATTACAGGTGCCGGAGATTGCCGATCGTCGGGATCGCCGGGCGACGTTGTTTTGTAATCACTGTGGTTTGCAGTGGGCATAACATTTAATACTAGCGTAGTACAAGCGCCGCCAAGCTTACACACAGCACCAACCGAGGCCGCGGAGAGCTCCGTAATGTTTATTTTGACGGCTCGGCTGCTGCGCGCGTGCAGTCTCCATCCAAAACCGAGGTACGGAAGCCGGCCTGTTCACAAGCAGAAAGAGAAAGTTTTTCCTGGTGGGGAGGGAAGGAGGAGGGGGTAACTGAGAGTTGCATGCCGTTTTGCTCCTGGTGGGCCGCGGGGGAGAGGAGAAGGGAAAGTGAGATTTGGGCACGTGAACGTCCCGGCCACGGTTGGTGCTCTGCGTACGTTGCGTCGTCGTCGCCGCGGCAACCGCGCGACGCTTCGTCCGTAAAAATACGTGTACATTAAAAAGAGAGAGAGAGAGAGAGAGAGAGAGAGAGAGAGAGCGCGAGAGCGAGAGAGAGAGAGAGAGAGAACGGCTGCATTGTTGCGCGGCATGACGAGATGTGCGATGCATGCCCCGCGGTTTTATCATGCATGGCTGATGGGTGTCTGCTCTTTATAGGCTTGGCCCCCACTGCAATCGCTGCTTCAAATCCATACATAATGAACGCGCAAGACCCCTACGCTGTCGGAATTGCCGTGACAGGTTAGAGACATGGTTATTGCTGTTATTGCCGACGTGGGGTCTGAAGGCGAAATTTTGTCGAGCCCGAAATTCGCGCGTTCGCGTGAGGCGTTTTCTCGCGAAGCGTTCGTAAAATAACGAAAAATATATTAACGATGCTGTGTGCGAGTGGGATGCTGCTTCGCTCGTCGAAACGTTTGGTAAATTGCGATCTGGTTTTTTTCTCGCGTGTGACACAAAATTTGGACGAAACTTCAGACTTCACATTTTAACAACAGTAAGGTGGCGCTACATGTCTTACGTCATGACCGCTTGAACGATTAAGCAATTAACAAAATGTGATGAACATGGCAACGATGTTCATCATTGCTTTTTTTCTTTCTTTTGGCTGGCCTCTCGCTTCGTTAAGAACTCGTTAACGGTAATGAAGGCCGGCTTTGTCCGGTCTCGCAATTTTTTGTTTAGTTTACCACCGTTTATTCGGAAAAAGCTAAAAAAAAAAACAGAAAAGTTATTGGTTGTCCCCCTCCCTCCCCTTCCTGTAATGTAGCGCTATCCTTGCATTGGTTGATTTTGCGATTTTTTACTAACAACACGATTTTAGCCGTAGCAATGAACTAGCACCTAACTTGTTGTAAGCTTCTCTAATAATGCATATATATATATAGGCTTTGCATATAACTATGGGTAAGTCGGGGGGCGGGTTGAGGTTGGGGCGTGGTTGGGTTGGAACTTGCAACTGTCCATGTGTCTGTTGTGACCAGCTGAAATGCCTGTGGGGCGCTTGTCCATGTCTAATTGCATCTCTGGTTGTTAAAATGCGTGCTGTCGTCATTGCAAATTAATACACTTACCTTTTAACAGCCTAGTCTCAGTTTCTGGGACATTATGCAGCCCACTACTGCTTTTTTTTGCCAAATCCGCTAGCAGCTAAAAGCGAAAGTGAAAAGGCATATCATATGTATCTGTTTATTTTTCTTGACACTTGATAGACAAGGCCACACAGGCATTATCTGTAATCTTTCTCAATTCTATCACATTGTGAATCACGTATATATAATCATAAGCCAAGCATTGTTTAAGCATACACTGGTATATGGGAAAAGCATGTTCTAGTTTTACGTTCTTCTGTCAATGTAGGTTTATTGGTTTACTTCGCTAGTGACTGCAGTGCTTACTAGACACAATAAGAACAACAGTGAGTAACAGAAAGAGACTTGGAGTCTTTTACCGTATCGCTAAGCTTTTGTGATCACATATACCTTGTCATCATTCGCTATTTTGCACTAAACTGTCAGAGCAATGGGAACATTATGCATAGCTGTCTTTTGCGAGCTAACGTTTGACTTTACTACTAAATTTAATATGCGCTATGGACACGTCATCAGAATAAACAGACATGCTGTGTTAATAATCCTTTTCCGAGGAATTTCTGATCTCTGCTCGAGGTTTGCTTGCTTGTCTTTGGCATTCTAGAGCTTCTGGGATGCCACTAGTTTGGGGTAACGTGTCAAAATTTGGAACAGTGACGCTGTGTCGCGAGGTGAGGGGAAATATGAACGTTTTTCCTCAGTTTGGGAATGTGGGACAGACCAGTTTTTTTCTTAACGTGTCAAATAAACAAGATTTGCATTACTGGAACAGAATTTGATTTTTTTTTAAATGCAACACTACGGAAACCAAGGGGATGGTTTTTAACACTTTACTGTTGTATGCTATAATAATGTTTGGCTCTTCATGATGTCATGTATATTAACTCTTCACGTAGCTAGTGCTAGACGCTACAACCCTTTCGGGTAGATTGGTTTTAAGTATAAGCTTAACATAAACTCTGTATCTGTTAGCTAAGTCTAGCATACACAGGGTGCGAAATTAACGGGAGTCCGGAGTCAAATACTCCCTGATTTACTGTCGGACTCCCTGATTGGACATATGCAGGAGTCCGTGTGACTCCCTGAAAATTCTGCCATACTAACTAGTTCGTTCCGGAGCACGGCCTCGCGGAATTACTGTATTTTTTTAGCTAATGTCCAAATAAAATTTGGCAGACGTTTACTGCATGAATCTTAAAAATAAGCACATGCGTTATTCTTAATATCTTTAATTTTGAACCTCAGACTGCGGACTATCATTTTGCGGCGGACTCCCTCTTTTTGAGGGTAGGGAGTCGTTTTGTTCAAAAGTTAATTTCTACCCCTGCATACACATATATTGTTTAGATTTGGTGTTGTATACTCTTTGATACCATTTTATTTGCCACCTCAGTTCCATGTATTTTTCTTAGATATCGGCGATAGAAATCATGCATGATCTTGTAGCCTCCTGAATTTTAATTCTTAGTACTGACAACATTCGTAGTTACATACAGTTTGTTGCCTATTTACCTACAGGGGTAAAAGTAAAGAGCTACTAAGTAGATTTTACACCAGGGTTGACGAGTGTACTAGCGTAATCGTTTCTGTCACTATAAGTGTTTGCAAGTAACTCTATTAAAATCTAGTGATTCTATAGGTGCACTAATTAGCGTTGCCTAATATAATACTATAACCACATTTAACTCCTCAGTCGTTAAGATTTCTCTAGGTATGTTTTCATCCCCGGTGACACCCAAGCCGACCCTTACCATTCCTCCTATGCCGTTCCCAGAGTTGCTTCGTGTCTTGTCACTCACTCCGTTGCCGTTGGTGTTGTAGGTCCGCAAGGCAACGTCCACCCTCAGTACTACGCGATGGGTCCGTGGATCTACCCTGCCGGAATGATTCAGCAACAACAGCAGCAGCAACAGCAGCAGCAGCAGCAGCAACAGCCGCCGCCGCAGGGTGGCATGACTCCGCAGCAGCAGCAGCAGCAGCAGCAGCAACAGCAGCAGCAGCAGCAGCAGCAGCAGCAGCAGCAGCAGCAACAGCAGCAGCAGCTGTTGCGTAACAGCATGAGCATGGGCCGGCCCATGACGCCTCAGCAGCAGCAGGGAGAGACGCAGCAGCAGCCGGGGATGGGACAGCAGATGGGACAGATGAACCAGGGTTCGGGAAACCTGCCCGGCAACATGCAGGCCATTCAGACACACAGTGAGTGACGCCGCGCGCGCGTTTTGTACGTTAGCGCAGGCGAAGAATGCCGGGACTACCGAAGAATGCGATAAATAAATAACAGTGGCAATTTGACTACATTATGTGTCAAATACAGTTGGCGAATGATTTAACTGCTCACAAAATTACGATTGAATAGTAAAATATGTCGAATTGTGGGACAGGGTTTCCGATTTGTAACGCATGCGAAATTTTCCTTCCGCCTTTCAGACGGTCAGTACCAGGTGATTCAGCCGTACTACGATCAGAATCTGCTGATGAACAATGTTGCCGCGGCGGCGGCCGCACGCGGAATGGGCGGCGTAGGGGGCGCCACCATGCGCCTCATGTCGCCGGCTCCCGTCATCGTCAACGCCGCCGCTTCTCAGGGTACGCGCTAGATCGACGTCGCGCGTGTTTGTGTATTTGTGTGTCTGTACGCGTGTGCGCGGTGTGGTGCGGTGGCCGCAGCAGATGTGTGTGTGTGTGTGGTGTGGGAGTGCGTGCCAACCTAGTGGCGATTTTATATTCGTGCGTGAGTGCGTGCGTGCATGCGTGCAGCCGTGCCAACCTTGTGTTCGTGCGAGTGCGTGTGCGTGAGTGCGTGCGTGCATGCCCAGACTTTGTGTGTATTTGTGTGTTTGTGTGTGAGTGCGTGTGTGTGTGACACCCTTGTGCATGTTCGTGCGTTCGTACGCGCGCGTGTCAACGTTCGTCGGCGTGCGTGCGTGGGCCAACGTCGCGGCACGATTCATGTGTTGTGTTGTGATGCTAGTCTTGCATTAGTAATGTAAATTGGTCTATCCGTCTAAGCGAGATAATGTTGTGTGGTGCTGCGTGTGTACTGGCGTGCACAATGTCAAGCAAAACGTAGCTATCAAACCTCCGTGTATGTTTGCGTACGGCCTATGTGCGTGGCAGACATGCCGCGCATGAGTGCGTATGTGCGTGGGTAATTTGTGTGCGTCTATGTTCTACCAATTTTCAGTCCTTTTTCAATAAATATTTGTCCTCCGTGAGATAATTTCGTCCTTGTGTATGTTCGCCAAGTCGTTAAAGGATAGACGATTCTAAACGCGCTTTTTCAGGCGAATGACTCAAATTTTCGAACTTCGCGAGTGCTAAGCTGCAATGTTTAATTGGCTTTCTAAAATGTGCACCCCGGAATAGCTAGCTAGCGTCGTCTATCAATACTTTGGCGGATATTGTCAGTTATGGGTAAAGTTATACCTTTGCAGCCGAGCATGGCTTGCCGAAATTAACTGAGACGTGAAATTCAGTAACGGGTTCTCGTTATCTTTCGTTACGTCTTTGCACGCGTCCACGAACCAATCCTAGTACAGTATGTAGTAAGTGGCTTATAAGTGTAGTAGTGTAGTATGCTTTCACAGCATTTAGTACCCAGATGCTCTGCCGCATCACATGGGTGCAGGGTGGACGAGCCAACGGACAAAACTTGTCGCGGAAGCATCCCCCTCCGTCAATCGCGCTCGCCGTTCACGGCTCGTGGAGGACCCCAGGAGGGGTTTATAACTATACGCCGGGGGGGGGGGGGTTATAACCCCTCCCCCCCTCGCGCGCGAATTCAACGTTTCCGTGGGGACCCCCCCCCGAGGAGGGGTTTATAACTATAGCCGGGTTATAACCTCCTCCGCCCCTCCGCGCGCGATTCACGTTTCCGTGGGGGACCCCACCCCCAGGAGGGGTTTATAACTATACCCGGGGGTTATAAGCTCCCGCTCCCCCCTGCCGCGCGCGATCACAGCTTCCGGTGGGGACCCCATCCCTATTACGCCAGGGGTTATAACCCCCTCCCCCCTCCGCGCGCGATTCAAGCTTCCGCGATTCTTCCCCGCAGCCGGGACTTGTGGAAATTGATTGCTACGCATACTATACGTTAATTATCGTGTCTATTTATAGCGTTATTATACACGTTACGTATCGTTACATTGATATCCGAACAGGCGAGCTCGTCGCGACGACCCCCTCGGCGGGGTCCACAGTAATCCCCTCCCCCCTTGGGGGGGTCCAACGGTAATCCCCTACGCACCTCGGCGGCGTCCACGTAACCACCCCTCGGCGGGGGTCTGCGTATCCCTCCCCCCTCTGCGGGGGTACACGTAACCCCTCCACCTCGCGGTACCACGTAACCCCTCCCCCCTCGCGGGTCCACGTAATCCCTCGTCCCCCTCGGCAGGCGGTCCACCGTAAACCCTCCCCGCAGCGGGGGTCCACGTAGATCCCTCCCCCCTCGGCGGTCCACGAATCCCCTCCCCCTCCTCGGCAGGGGTCCACGTAATCCCCTCCCCCCTCAGCGGGGGTCCGCGTAATCCCCTCCCGCCCTCGGGGGGGTACACGTAAATCCCCTCCCCCTCGGCGGGGGTCCACGTAATCCCCTCCCCCCTCGCAAGGGGTCTACGTAATCCCCTCACCTCCTCGAGCGTGGGGTCCGCATGCGGTTTTGATCCCCTCCCCCTGTGCGCGGGGGTCGGGCCAACGTAATCCCTCTCCCCCCGTCGGCGACGGGGTCGCCAACTGTAAGTCGCCGTCCCCCCTCGGCGGGGGTCCAACTGGTAACCCCCTCCCCCCTCGGCAGTGTCCACGTAATCCCCTCCCCCCTCGGCCGGGGTACCACGTAGCCCCCTCCCCCTGGAGGCGGGGGTGCCACGTAACCCCCGTCCGGCCCCTCGGCGCGGGGGTCCAGTAACCGCCCCCTCCCCCCTCGCGGGGGTCCCACGTAAACCCCTCCGCCCTCGGCGGGGGTCCACGTAACCCCTCCCCCGGCAGGTCCACGTAACCCGCTCCGCTCCCCCTGCTAGCGATTCAGCGCTCCTCCCGCGATTCTGCTACCCCGCGCGGCACAAGCAGCATGAAGCAGTGGCCACGCTGCCGCAACGGAACCGAGGCCGGTGCGTCTTGACGCAGGGCAGGTCAGGCCAGCTCAGAACCCCGCGCATCGCTCTAGCACCAACAGCAACACGCAGATGGGACGCGTCCTCGAGCAGCAGCAAGCAAGGCAGCCCCGCAGCGGACAGAGCAGGGCAGGCCTGTACTCGTCTCTGCCAGGCGCGCGAGATTCACGCCCGTCTCCGTCCAGTCTCGGGTCTCGCAGTCGTCGAGTCCGGCCTGAACGCCGGCCCCAGCAGCAGCAGCAGCAGCCGCAACAGCAGCAGCAGCCAGCACCAGGCGGGAGGTCGGCAATGACCAACCATGGGCTTCGAAACAACAATCTGGTGACGAAGTGTCGTCGACCGCGTTGGAGGCGATCGGAACTGGTACGTGAGCGTGACGAGTGGGCGGCGCCGGCGTAATATGCTTAGTTCAGGCCAATGTTAGTTCGTGTCTATTTTAAGCCCAACGTGTGCGGTTCACACATTTGCGTGTGCCGTGCGCGTGTGCGTTTGTCGGCACATACATATGTGGCAGAGCGTCACATATGTTGTACAAGTATTCTTGTATACCTTCTTATAAACTTATGTGACTTTATCGAGATTATATAATTAACTTATACATCTGACGGGTGGCTCCCCTTCGTAACCATCACACTACACGGACCTTACGGTTTTGTACTTAATTATGTTTGTAAATTGTATATGAAGTTTTGCTGAGCGATGATCATACTTATATATTATGGCTCTCGTGCCTGCTCCGCTGCGTCTGGAGGAGGAGATTCTCGTCCCCGGCGCTCTCCTTTCCTTTCTTTTAACCTATCGTTTGTACGATGTTGTTTAAATTATTCGATGTTTGTAAAGTTTTCTGACCGATGATCATAACTTAGATGCTCTCGCCTGAACTCCCTCTCTCTCTGCTCTCTCCTCTCCACACTAGGTCTAGGCAATGACAGTCTCGACAGCGCAGGGACTCCTCCCCGGCGCTCTCGACTACGTGAAGCCGGGGCGGCGGCGGCGGCGGGCGGGATTGTCGCAGCAGCTGAACTCAGTACGTACAACTCTCGGGGCGGCGGGAGGGACGGGTTGCGCGTCGGCGGCATGGCAAGCGAGCCGGACCGATCGGCATGCTACCACCGAGCAGTCCTCAGCCGCCGCCGATGTCTGGGTCTTCGATCAAGTCTGAATTTCGGTGAGGATTCTGGGCCGGAAGATGGAGGGTTTGTGTTGTGTGTGGGTGCGTGTGCGTGTGTGTTGCATATTTGTGTGTGTGTGGGTGCATGTGTGCGTGCGTGTTGGCGTGTGCGTGTGCGTGTGCGTGGCGGGGTGTGTGTGTGCGTGCGCGTGGGTGCGTGTGCGTGTGCGTATGTGTGATGTTACCTGTGGGTACAATGTTGTGACATATAGTGGCGAAATGTAGGATGTAGTGGGTAGGTTGTCCCAGACTGTGTAAACTAACGACACGAACTAGTGAATAAACGTGGAGATGATGGTTCCTTGTTTGTGTGTGTGTGCGTGCGTATGTAATGTTACCCGTACTACATTGCAGTATATGTTTACAGTACGTATTACAGAGGCTTAAGTAATACGTACACTAGTGAAATTAACTACGGCCCATTTGATATCGGTGTCTGTCGACGTGTGTTCATGATGATTTATGAATGCATGTGGGAATCTCTCTGAAAATTGGCTGAAGAGAACCTCATTGATATGCTCAACTGATAACACACTCACTAGCTCACTAGCTCACTAGCAATCCCAAATGTTCAAGCGTTGTGGTGGCCGTGCATTTAGTTAATCACTTAGTTAAACTAAACGTTTTAATTTAGTTTTGTTGATCTGCACAATTTTAGCAATATGCTGTACATGGTGATTTTATATTGTAACCAAATGTCATCACTAATTAACATGGATCTACATGTGTGTCTAACTACTACGCGTATCGTACTATACAGGGAAAGAATAACTTTTTTTTCACGGGAGGGAGTCTGTGGAAAAAATACATCTCGTACAAAATTTTACGGGAGCTATTTCGTATTTTGATCCTCACACTGGAGCGATTTCGGAGGTTTGAAGAGCGAATCGCTCATCGCTCCCGTGTATTTTTTACCCTGGTACTATACGGCTACCTTGTTGCAGGCACCCTCGGAAATGGAGGTCGTTTCATATCGGCGGCGCCGGGGGCCGAGGCCAAATATCGCAACGGGTCGCTGTCGAACGGACTGTTCGGAGGCTCCAGCAACACCCTCTTCCCTAACCGGATCGGCCGCAGGTAGGGAAAACCTCATCGCTGCTGCGCTGGTTCATTGATGGGTTCGTGCGAGGTGTGGGAACGTAGGTGTACAAGCACCAGGGGAAAAAATATTATTTATTTTTCGGGGGCTACTTTTTAAGCTCACGTGCATGAAAATAGCACTCTAAAATTTGGTTTGCATTGAACTCTATGCAAATTTACGGGGCTCTTTTTGGCATTTCCGGGGCTCTTTTTTGGAATTTCGGGGGCTAAATCGCCCCGAGCCCCCGTGTATTTTTCCACTGACAAGCACCTTGGCTCGCGTACGGTTGTGTGATGACCACGATGTGCGACTCTGTAGAATATAATAATATTATTATATGCTAAAGAGAGTGTCATTGTGTTGTGTTGAGAAGGACACCCTGGTCCCCCAAAAACAGGTGATCGTTCCCCGTGACTACTTAGATGATTTAATATTGTTCTACAACTTAGTAAGCACTTGCATATATGATTATTGTTATTATTATTATTATCATT